TAAAATTTCAGAACATATACGACATATTGACATCAGCATCACCAGTAAATTAATAGCTGAGCAACTTGAATAACACTTACAAGAAAGAATAAAATATATGTCTATACATTTATACATACAAATAAATAAATCCCTACACTTCTGATGAAATAGCTCTAAATTATCCCTTGTAAGGAAGACTAATGTAAGTTTGTCCTGAGTATTATTTAATTGAACAACAAGTCAATATTAATTTTTCTTGACCGTTTACAAATTCAACTAGCTCCTTCAGTAAACTGCGAGAACTTCTGAGTGAACACGATCAAAAACCGCATAAACTAATAATTGTGAAAGTTATTTTACAGCATCCATCAGAAGACGGCAGTTTAACGACTAAAATTTTGTCGACATCATTATTTACAGAAAATGAATTCATAATCTTTTTGTTCTACATCGGGTAATCTGAAAAAGTAAGAGGGCCCCGCCAGGATCCTGGTGTTTCAGGGCTACCTACGTGCATACTCTCAGCAGGAGGACCATAGTCCATCATCGGGGGACCGGGGCAACAATAACTCCCGCCTGGCACAGCCTCGTGGGACCGATTAACTAAAAGTGAATTGCATGACAAATTTTTGAATGAGAGATAAAGAAAAAAATCCAGTCTTACCTGCAGAATAGACTGGTCTTACAGACTGCTGAGACCTTGGTTGAGCATCCAAATTTTGAGAACAAAAAACGTTTGCAAAAGGGTCATTTTCACTGAGCGATAAACTTGACAAGTCCTGAACATTGAAAAATTATTCTTGAATAAAAAGTAATGACAGCACGACGCAATCCCTTTTTCAACCTTAAAAATTAAATAGGACCTGAGGCCAGTCTTCCATATAGTCCATATTTGAAGACATATCAACGGGTTGAGAAGGTCCTTCCCTGCCATACATCGAAGGAACGTTCCCATTAGTTGGAAGATAAGTCTCTTCTTGACACAACATCTGAAACTTCAAAAATTACTGGAGATAATGATGTCGGTTGTTAACACTGTAATTTAGGCAAATCAAGAGCTTTGAATTCCTCCTAGAAGAACCTCTGCAAAAATAATATTGAACTAATTCTATTTACTTCGGTGTGCCGTTGGGAAGAGTGGCCGGGCATGTTGTACTGTATCGGGGTAGGTATAGAAGAATGAACTGGCGCATAAGGGACATGCTGACCATACGAATTTGAGTTATAGGGGGACGAATACTGTGACTGCGCTGACGGATATTGCATGCCGTAAGATGAACCGATATGAGCACCGCTACAGCCCCCCACCGTGTGTCTTCCATCAGAACTCGAATACGTTGCAGCTAAATTACGTCCCTCAATTGATCTGTCATAGGCCAAACGCGCTAGACTCTCTGAAATATAACTAAAAGTTTTAGAAAAGAAAGCTTCATAATTATAGCCAGCAAAGAGAATAAGTAATTTAAAGAAAAAGAAAGTACCGAAATTTTCGTTTCGACAGTTCATATAGTGCTGAAAAGCATTCATCAGCACACCATCGGCAGCAAAACCAGCACCAGTCTGTAAAAAAAAGGAAGACAAATTCACCAGTACCGAACAGCCAAAACCATAACATGGCAGTATTATATGTCAAAGATACACAACCAGAATCATATCAATAAAACTAAATGATTTTTTCACAACCACGAGAAAATATACCAAAAACCTTATTATTTTCCCTCAGAATAAGCTAGCTCCAAATGACACTTCCGCGCGATTCGGACATTTTTAGACAAACACTACATGTACTAACACTAAGAGCAGCCCGAGAAATTAATTATTACTTTCATGCAACAAAGACTTATTTGACAACAATCATTTTGTAAAACATTTGTACTTCTTTACTTTACACACAGTAATCAAATGAAGCGTTCCTGTGCTATAAGGTCGTAGAAAAAAGCAGAGAAAATTACAAATGTGTTCTGAAATCTTTCTCATTTAGTCATTTTAAGTCCTAAGCTACCACAACTTTATCAGTGCTAGTGAAAACAACTAGTTTGACAAACAAAAATAACAATTATCATAATTACTTCAGTCCAAAACCTAAAATTTTCTTCGCTGTCAGCACCATCACTAAGATAGTCCAAATGCTCTGTTTTTCTCTGAGAGAGGAATTAACTGTTATCAAACCACTACTTTTCAAAAAAACTAAAAATTCCAATATATTCGTTGCACAATAAAATCAAAAATAACAACTTCAAAATTTCGTCCAATGCGCCCAATCAAATCAGACCGAAAAGAGAGACAGTACTGTAAATTAACACTTCTTGTGTTACACATTAGCGATCTTTGTAAAATAAAATTAAGATACCCTTTTCAATAATAAATGAAAATCACACATAAATTAAAAGTTAAAAATTACTTCATGATCTAAAGCGAGCTCAGAAAGAAGACCAAGGGCGCTATGTTTCACTCTTTCATTATCGACAAAACGTTGGAATAAGCAAAATATTGGTAATATTACAGCTTTTTCACCTTCACAATATAAAAAACCAGGCGCTTTTATGAAGTATGCAACCTAAAAATCTCCTATTAATTTTAAAGTTTCAACCAAAACTGCCAAAAATACTGCCCTTTAAAACAGTGCAAACAACCTTACAGAGATTTTACGATACCTGCTGCAGAAGATTCCTATTTTTGCACATGGCTTGCAGAGTAGACAAAGACAAGAGGATAAGGTCACAAACACTGATTTCTTCTATTTTTTGCGTCTGTAAGATAAAAATTTTTCGAAAAGTCGCTTCGAAGTTGACTATTAAAAAAGAGAACATGAGCAACATGAGCAAAACCGAATGGAATACTTGGTCAGATCAAAAATTACCGATGGCAGCTGCCGGCACGCAGCTTGAAGCACAACAATGATTTGTTTAGCAAAAGTTGCCTCTTCTCCATTTGGCATTCGAATACAAACGTCGCGAAAGTTTATTAGATTCGAATCTTGATTTACCGCTTTACTCAAAATCTGAATGAATAAAACTGTTACAAGAATACTTTTCAGTATTAACATCTGGAAATGTTCTCGAAACCATACCTGCAAAGTTTGTTTAAGAATTGCAGGTCTCATTTCCAACAACTTTCTCAACAGAAATTCTGCGCACTCCGGTTGAAAAACTGCTTTCTGAGCTTCTATATGGTGAGAATTATTAACACACAGATGCCGCAAAGTGGCGAGTGCACGTTCCTTAAGAAAAATGTCACTTTTATCTAGTAAATTAGCAGCACAAAGAATGAAAAGAAAAGTAATATGTGGTCAAACAAATAATCATTATTTAGGCAAACCAAATATCAAATCAATATTTTTTACTTGTATATCCTCTACTTTCTGTTGCAACGAAACTGTATTGGCTGGAATGTTGCATGAATTCAGCAAGACACGGAATAAAGCAGTTATTCCATTTTGGTTGAACACATACTCCTTATTACGCTGATTATTTGCGAGTAAATTTGACAGTATCCCTACGCAGTAAAGTACTATACTTGCATCCATAGCACCTGAAACAAATTTTTCCTTACTCTTCATAACAGTGCAACAATGTCACCATTTCTGATTATAAATCATTTTCAGTATCAACCTAAAAGTTGCAATAATTTCTCTAGTAATTTCAGAACGTCAATGTCCTTTGCAACTACATCCGACATATTCCTTATACATTCGAGCGCAGTTGTTACTACTCGTTGACTTCCGTGATTCAGTAGCTGTGGTAAAACATCATATCCCCCACTGTTAACAATTGCAGATGGATCCTGTAATGAAAAATTAAATGACCGGCTAAAAACGATTAAAAACAAAGAATAAGCCCTTCTCCAACTATAATACTTCTAGTCAAGGAACCAATTAAAGAAACTTAAAACCTCGATTAACTAAGCATAAACAAGCAAACAAAAGAAAAAACGAGATATTGCAGTAAAATAATTTAAAAAACTGACATCTTCTCTTAAAAACCAAAAAAATAATAATTTACCCCCTTAATATAACCAACATTACCTCGTACTCAGCAGGTGTAAAGACAGAAAAGTATTAAAAATAACTACTCCTGTTATTACTTAATATCTCAATATCTTGCTTAATTGCATTACAGACAGAGTTGTTAAATAGAATAAGAAAACGAATTTTTCAAATAATTTCCAAATTTATTTTTTGACGCACGAAGCACATAGGAACAACCCAAATAAATCTTTTCTGAAAATATCTAACTTTCTACATCACTTTTAAGAGACGGTTTTATGAAAAGTCAAAGTTCACAAGCCTGGTTCAGGTTTCCTACCCAAAAAACTTATTCTCTTCTCTAAACTCTTAAGCTAAGACAAAAGAGAATGATAATGAACAGAAGGTTTTCGTAATTAACCCATCTGCAAAACGTAATTCAAAAAGAAAGAAGAACTGCGCCATCCTTAAAATTGTCACCCTCAACTGCAATAATAAAAAATACCAAACAAAAAGCGAATGAATAAGATAAAACAAAAAGAGCTCAGCCTGTCACAATTTAAAAAAATTTCAACAATGTTTTTTGAGAGAGTACAACTCACAGGAGGTTTTAGAAGTCCTAGTCAAAAAAGTTTTGATGCGTAGCTGTACTAAGAATTACGATAGAAAAAGACGAGGAAGTTTAAGGATTCTGTCTCATAAATCAGGCTTTTCCAGATAACTTTCCAAAAAACCTCTCGTAGCAACAACTTTTCTGTTCATTAAGAATGAGCTAGAATAAAAGGCGAAAACTCTAAAATGGTTTCTTTTCAAGTAACATAAATTTACTTAAGGTTAACTCATTTAAAAATTGTTTTTCAAAACAACAACAGGGTTTTACGTTTTAGCTGAAAAACATTTTGGCACACACATTATTAGAAAATTTATATTTAAGCTAAAAAAATGTGTAAAAGTTCCAAATAGGACTTTTAGAACGCGATTTGAATCGCAGTATTGTCCAGTAAACCATTAAAAACAGTCCATTTGAAGCCAGGATTCTTAATGCTTTGTTTTCACGTTGTAAAAACTGGAATTGGCAGAAAAACAGAATTGAAAAAATTTACTAATCGTCCATTATTATATGTTGAACCAAAGTTGGTAGGTTTATTAACAACTAATCAAACATAATAAGGCTAGAAGACTAACAAAATTGTTTTGTTTATTTTTTTCCTTTTACTAATAAATCAGTCAATCTTGTAAGCTGACTTAAGACATCTACCCTAATCAACTAGCCAATAAAAAGCGGAAGTTTTAAAAACTAAGCTGGCACTCTCCACATTTCAGCATTAATAAAGACTAGTTAACCTTAAAAACAAAAGATGAAAAAAGAAAATTACTGTATTAGATAACATCCTTATTAAAGAAGCCGTTCTCCACAGTAAACTTTCATACTGAAAAGTGCGAAGAATACCAAAAGCCTTGGACGGACCATGTAGTTTTATAAACTTCTCCTAAATTTAAACATCGACGAATATATATGACTAAAATCTCTAATTAAATATAACAAAAAACAATAGCGGAGTAATCATTTTGTCTCTTGCTCAAACAGTTAATTGTAAACAAAGATTAATTCAAACCTTTTGTTCAGTACACTTGTCGCATAGTATTTTGACACATTCGATCAAAACAGAAAGTAACTTTTCGTTGTCCTCCCTGTCTAAGAAGGCTGTGACTGCTTCCAAAGCACCGGCAGCACGAGCACACTCTATATTTCGAACAGCTTTCGATTTCTCAGCAATTATTGTGTGAAATGTAAGTATCGCATAACGCGCAGATCCCCCACTAAAATTCTTTCAAATCTTGTACTAAAGACAGATCGGTATAAAAAAATTTGACTCCGAATACGTTCCTACAGTCAATTTGTAAACCAACATGATGTAGATTAAAGTATAAAACTAACTTGAATTTTATGTGGTGGATGACACTCACAAGAAGATCACCATTAGTTTCATCGTTGACGCGTAAAATACTTTCCAACCCATCTGCTCTGCTTGAAATTTGAAAGAGAGCCCCAAGAGCTGCCTTTATAATACCCTTGAAACGAAGAGTTTAGTACTGCTAAGACGGTACCATCCTTACTGAGTCATATAAACAAAACATGATGTTGATTGAGAACATACGAGAAAGTAAGTTACTTATCATCTCCATTAATTAAGTTTAATTTATTAAATTAAAAGAAAATATTACTGGAGAATTAGAGTGCGTGTGTAAAAGTTTCTTGAGTAGCGGAACAACTTCTAGAGCATTAATCCACGGCTTTGCGTAATTTGGCTGCTCAGAATCCATCTTTGCAATATTCTGCACCATCGTAGCAGCCCTTTGAACAACAACCTCCAAAGAAATTTGTAAATAAAAGAGAAATAACTGTAAAGTTAAAAAAAATATTTAAACTCGGAACAAAAAAAAAACCATTTTGAAATTAAATAGGATAAAACTGACTTCATCATGGTCGCTTAATAGGTGTATAACTTCAGGAATTGCTTTTCTTGTTTCTCCCTCTTGAGCACCTCTCCCAATGTTGGCTGGGATGTTTTCAAATTTCATTTGCTGTTGATCGGTTAAGTCAATATGAGCGCTGGTGTCTTCAGACACTGTTGACATCTGTGATCCTGCACGAAGCGAACTCATTGAAAGTACCGAAGGTGCCTAGAAATTTTTTAATTGAAACAGTATTAAAAGTGACCAATAACCTAATTATTTGAAAGACTAACAAAGCTTCGACACAAGAAAATTTCAAATATTTCTACATAGGTAAACTAACAGCGCTATGATTCATTGACTGAACACCGCTGTCAAAATTATTTGTCCACATTTGGACTCGGAACATGTAAGCGCCATTTGGGGGAACTTTTGTGGAAGGAGAAGGCTGATAGGAAGGCACTTGAGAAGGAACTGGATTCGAATGTACAGAAGCATTTTGGGATAAAGGATTTGAAGGATAAGAGGTAATCTGAGAATGACCCATTTGCTGTGATATCTGAGATGAGGCAGCAACAAGACCCGATTTAGGAGAGACCCGTGAATTAAGAGTGCTGCGACTCTCTGGAGTTACTGTACTGCGCAGCGGTTCTGCAGGTGAACAATGAGGTCCGTATTCCTCAAAAAGCAAAAAATCTTCAAAACGGTGGCTCACTCGATCTGAGTAAAAACTATCGGTTTTGAAAAATTTTGAAGTCTCTCAAATAAGTCTTTAACCTAAAGTATTTTCTATACCGTACTTAAATTTAAAAAAGAACCTAAACAAAAGTTACTATTTAAAGAAAGTACCAGTACTCTAATATGCATAAATTTTAAAAAAAAAAAAGAATTGATAGAAACGAATGAAGTTCAAAACTTACATGAGAGTAGTTGTCCATCCGGGCGAAAAAATAAACAAAAACCGCCCTCAAGCCTAAAATGTAATTTAGCTATTGAAAAATTTTTTGGTTTCTACTACGCAAAACGTTACCATACAATGTCAATACAAAAACAAAAAATTTGGTTATTTTGACTACCGTTTGCCAAATAAAATTGCGACAAGATAATCAAAAAATACTGTTAAGTAAAAAATCACTTCAAAAATCCATTAGGGGTAAATCAAGACTGAATTCAAACAAATAGCGTAAAAAACGTTTTTAAACAAATGGAAAAACAACAATAACGATGAATAAGAAACAAGACCATTGACACCAAAATCTTGCAGAAAATACAAAATCCTTAAAAGGGCACAAGTATTGGTTGATTAGTTTATAAGAATACTAATATTTTAAATTGAATTAGCAACACCTACAGTAACACAATACAATAAAACAATAAAATGAAAGCAAAATCTGAAAACAACTCATAACGAACAGATTTGTTTGAAAAGAAAAGGCAAAAGCAATGATGTCCGAAAAAAAAAAATCAAAGAGAAAAAGACCTCCTTCTGCCCTGTTCGTCCCCTTTTCCACATCGGTTTGATCAAGCAGTAATAAATAAAATAATCTAAGTGCATGACTCCATTTGCTAACAAAAACAACAGTAACAATCACTCAACAAACTTACATATGTGTCAATAATGCTGTCATGGGTGTAAAAGCTGAATACATTAAAGTTTTTATGGCATAACAACTTATGGGTAATGATTGCAAACTACGAATATTGTGAAAACAGACCGTGCTAGTTGTCACCTTCAAAAACTTTAACAGTTTTTTTTTTTTTTTTTTTCTTCTCCCTCTTGTTACAGCTTAATTTTTTAAATAACTAAAACTATAAGTTCTATCATTATAGCATCATTATAGCAATATCCAATAATTACCAACTAGTTACCCCATTAAACCAAATACTACCACCATCAGTGAAGCACTCATCATCATCATCATCATCATCATCATC